GGGGCTGTCGAAAGCCTTGTTTGTCGTTGTCAGAGCTTGCATGATTCAAGGGAAAATTTGTGGAAGTTGCTCTTGCAATTCAATGCAGTCTTGCACTGCTGTGAGCCGAACGACCTAAGAGTTGATGCGAGTTTGGAGGGCGAGAGTTCATTCTTAATCTGAAGTCGGTATCTTAGAGCACTAGGGTCGCAAATGTCGTTTTAATAAATAATATTAAGAAAGCAACTGGGTATACTCATGGCGAATTGAACTGTCAGACAGTAGGATGTTAGCAGTGATCTTGCCATGACTCATGAATGCTTCCTATTTACAGTCAAAAGTCTTCTGCGTAGTTGTCATAGTTACTCCATTTAATTAATTGGAAGTGCGATGAGTTCATTGTGTAGCTCATGGTTTTGGTAAAGAGGCCATTTTGGGCCTCCTTTATCGTGCCTTCTCCGTATGGGCCGGCCTCCAGGTCATGCCAGTAGCCCCAAGTCCTACTGTATGCTGAGAATTCATATTTCGTTCGAATAGTACGCCTTCTTTTCGTCTTCTGTTAAGTCTCGGGGCACTACAGAGTAAATGTATTTGCAAAAATCAAGGCTGATTAATAGCCATTAAAATCGATGGGGAATTGAGGTGGAGCACTTTGTAGGTTACTTATACTATGTAAAGACGAAGTTATCACCTATTAATAATGCACAATCATCTAGCTCTACGTAAGTTAGCATTTTTTAAGAAATAACAAGAAAAGGTACACTTACTTCACTTACAAATGAAAATAGAGTGCTGTTATACGTTAATAATTTGTTTAACCCTTGGTTTCGGTAACGGGCCCACTTAGAGACTTCATCGTCGTACCGTTGCGGGGCGGCTCGGCCTCTGGGTCATAGCGATAGCATAATCCATTCTGCACTTCGACAATGCATGTTCTACCTAGGTGTTATTTCTTCCTTTATCTTCAGGGAGGTTTTTCCGGCGCTACGGTGCTCCATGTAACTTAGGCAATCAACAAATTATTTATAATACGAAATAATCTAGTATAATCCAAATATGTCAATATCGCATCATTGCTTTACCTTATATTGTGCAGTTAATTGTGTGTTTTTTAAAACGATTTTTAAGTGTACGCCTAAATTTGAGCTTGTTTCGGTACCAATATGAAGATTTGGTGTTTGCCTCAACGTGTGTTTAGCTGTGGCATGATATTTCAGTTATGTCTAGAGCTTCAGGTTTCTATTATAAGTTAGTAATCTCTTCCATACTGGCATGGCTTTTACAACATCAAAGGACGGCTAGAGACTCCACACTATGATACTGATTAAAAACTCATGCCCCTCTTAAAGATGTTTATCAGAACACTTCGTTTTCAACTAGTTGGTGAAAGTATCTGAAGCGCAGTATCTATCTGACCGAAAAATTGAAGAAAATTAGACTTTATGATATCTAAAAAAGCCAATGGACCACTAGTCGAGGTGGTAGAAATGGAGAGGCAAATCACTGCACTGTGGAAAAAAATCACCTCTATGCAAACAAATAAAATAGTGCAGGTATTTATTTTTTCCAACGTATGCTCGGGTTTTATTGTATAAATGATGTATAGACTATATCATTTATGCTATCTAAGAAATTCAGTGGCAAAGCCGCGACTGCTATGGATGATTCATAGGGTTTGCTGTAGCGAGTAGTTTTTAAAGATCTGTTTGGAACAATTTTAAACAGAAACATCGTATTAGCGTTTTATATTTTGACTTAAAATGAACTTAACAATTTTAAAATGAATTTAGTAGAAGGTACTCCTCGTGGTCGCATTTTGATATTAGATTACAATTCACGCTAAGTCGAATGCCACTTGCAGTTAAGGGTAGGTAAGCAAGAGCGCTTTCAAGCTTATCAAGATCTATTAAGTCACCCCTGATTTTGCTTATTTCCATAAAATTCTTCTACGAAGACATTCAGATTTATTTTACTTTTAATGATCCGGCCTTTGTATTTCGCATACTTAATTGTTGACAGTCATGGATCAAAACCCACTTAAAGGTGGGGAGTCACCACTGGAGCTCCAACCTTCTCTACCTTCCTCTACATCTTCCTCCTCGCCGTCATCATCATCATCTTCTTCTTCGAATTCCTCAACTTTGAGGCCATCTCGCTTATCAAGGATTGGAGAGTAGTAAACTCACACAGGCGACAAAGTAACGGGTCTAGTTTTAACTGGTAAATTCTGTTTCAGATGTTTTTTAAATAGCTAATTTTACCTACTAAATAATTTCTAGCCTATTTTAAAATTACCGTATGTTTGCACGATTATTATGCTTAGGAGTACATGGTAATCTATCACCTTGTATTTAAATAATTACTAAATATCGGAACTCTGGTAATTAATTTCTAATTCTAGTTCTTAATTTGCTGTTCTAATTTTGAAATACACATTAAACGATGCGTCTTAAATCCCAGCCTTAAATCCCAGTTTACCCACTTATGGCTACTTTAGCCAAAACGATGCACCAAAGCTCGCGAAAGGGTGAGCAGCAACAGCAGCAGAAAGGAACCTTACAACGAAGACGTCCAGGCGAGAAGAAAGAGAAAGGCCAATCATCGGGGTCGAATGCAAACACGCGCAATGATTTCTCCGATCGAAGCAGAATATGTCGCATTTGTCCGATCTTACGACTCCATGCACCAAGTGATACTTTAAAACCTATTTTAAGTCATCAATTGTACGCAGAAGAAGCTGCTTAAGAGCACTAGTTGTCAAGCCTTATCTCTAGTCTGATACCGTGAACTTTAATATTAGCGACTGTTTCCAAATTGTGGCAGAAATTTGCTGGTTGGTATTAAAAGGCGGCTTTGTACTAGAGTACGATTCTAATATGATAATGACTTCAATCTAGGGCGCGAAATACTGATTTGCTTTGATATTAATATTAAAATGTATTTTTTAGCGCTTCGTAGTCCCAGACGTCAGCAAACACCATTAACAACAGAGCAAATGGAAGACTTGAAGGAAGCTTTTTTTGCAAGCTGGCTCAGACACAACGATTATCTATGATTCATGTCAGAATGCAGTTCCGTCGGGCTCGGAAAGAAGAAAATGAATAGTAGATGAAATGGCGTTTTTTCAACCAATGTAGAAAAATTTTATTAATTTGTTAATATACTTTGTGAAGTGAAGAAAAATAAGCAATAAGCTAAGGACCTTGTCCTCGTACCTCAGAAGCATCACAATTCGGGGATACAAAAATAGGTCATTATTGAAAAGTGGCAGCTTTGCCTCTATCCCAAGAAGTGTACTGGCAAAAGTGGTTTATCTAAACAAAACATTGAGTAATTTATTCTAGATCAGAGTATATTCTTATAAATCCGATACAGGCAACGAGTCACGTTTTCCATACTTTTTTGTTTTAGCGGTGTAACAAAGAACAGTAGCATTTTATGTGAATAAACTCATTTTGAAACCTCATTACATTCATTTCTGCTTATCACATATACGTATTCCTTAGTTCACTTTTAAACTATCTGTTCATATTCAGAACATTTGTCAAAGTAACGTTGGACAAACTGCAAACGCAAACTCCAATGAAAATGGTTTAATTTCTTCTATGAGCTCAACGTGGAGACGCAATTTGGTTAATGCGGAGACAAAAAATGTGAACGCCGCTTGATACCATCTTGTCCAATACGTAAGAGGTTCTCGCCTTCTCGGTGATGTACTTTGTCACGATCTGTTTGGACCGTATTACATAGCCATCAGTAGATAATTGTTAATTTTTGATCCTTTCCACCTTGAACGTCGGTATTTGCACGTGACGAAATAATGAAATAAAGTACAGTATGCTAACATTGCTAAATTTGTCCCATGCATTCATTCTTGGCCGGCATAGATTGCCATTCAGTCTAAGATAGTGGAATAAGTGAAGAATCATTACTGCTATCCCAGCTAACAGATACTGAACTTATTGTTACCCTACCATATGGAGAATAAATGGTATGATCATTTGTTCGGCTCCGACACGAGACGTTAATAATTCAGAGAAAGGATGAACTCAGTATAGTTGCCGTAAAACTCGTTTGAGACACTTTTGTTGAATATTCTTTACCTAGAAGAAGGATTTAACCATTTCTCTGAAGGTTCTTGCCAGTAATCAGTCGTAAACCATATTATTTTACCAAAAACTACTTAATTTTTAGCATTTTTGTAACTGACTAGGGATCTGCCCAAGATTATTTGGATAGTACGAGGCACATTCCTCAGTCTGGTTCTTATGTTTTCTATCCCACCATATTATTTATTGCTGTATTTCAGTTAAGCATTTCCCTTTTATTGTTCAACTAACCCCGATTTTATTAGCTATCTTACGCTTGACTGCGGTATCTGCATCAATAAAAAAGAATGAGGCTTAGGAGCATGTGAAGTTAGGGCTGAACTCAATGCAACTCATTTTGAGATCTGTCTTCGTCCAACTTAAAGGAATATGAAGCGGACAATTTTCCTTAGCCTGTTGTATGAATTGAGCCGAAAATGATCACAAGTTAGCTCCCAGTTTCATCAAAGTAAGCAGATTAAAGTGTAGTTCTTCTAGGATTATGAGCCGAGTAAGCAGTTAGCTTTCGACATAACTTAAAGCTATAAATTTACTACATATTATGCTAGTAGTGGTAGCTTTCATTGTTCTTGTCTGCCGGCGTACTTGTGAGTATCCCTAAAGTTACCGAGAACTTTGAACACAACTACGAAGCCCCATGGGGCGTTGATTTTATACGTTTCATTTACTTCCTGTCGGAGGCTCTGATTTTCTATTTCCCATATCATCATAACGATAACTCATTCGATATTACACATTTCCACTTTGTACGGAACCGAAGAGTGGATGAAGTATGCTCGTACCCATTCAAAGTCGGACTTAGTAATTACACTACACTGAAATTTACAAGTAAAATGCTTTATATTTTCATTTTAATCCGATTGATCCTTCCCTTATTTGCCTCAATGCAGGCAACATAGGATCGGTATGAGTCTAAGTAGGCTCTAATTGGTTGAACCGTCGAGCCACCAGAGTGATTTGTTGGTCGTAAACCGCGCCTGCGGGCCTAACCTGCAGCCAATAGGGTACACTCAAGTGTGTATATCGCCTCATCACTAAACATAGCCATTCACTGACGGCCCTGTCATGGCTACGCGACCTGGTGTGTGAATCCTGTTCTCTTTTCTATAGGTGTTACGTAATTATCGCTTTCATTTCTAGCATAGCTTGGCTTGTAAGTGCCAAGTATAGTCCCTAAATCCATGTTAATCGTTATAATTTTTAACATTTGTACGGATTTTAGGCAGATTTTTCGACTACTACACCAATTCGAATGTAAATGAAAATGGTAAAACTTCCGTCCAAACGAATCAGTCGTACTTAACGAGTAGCGAAGATCATCGAATTGTACCTTGTACCGGTGACTCACATTCTGATTACCGTCATGAGGTGAGTATAACTGACTCTTGGACGCAGAGAGCTGACATTGTCAACGACGTGAGGCCCTTCAACACTGCGCACCAAATTGAAGAGATTTGTACGCACCAGACCACGAAAAAATGTGATCTCTATGATCATTTGCGGTCATCACCTGACGATCACAATAACAGATGCTTCCCCAAGTTTCTCCAGCCGAATGAAGCGAAAAGTAGTCAAGGCGAACCTAGCAACACGCAAGCGCTTTCGTATGGCCTAGACCAATCCCCCTGCTACGTAAGGTACATGCTCTACGTGTTGGAGCACAATCCATCCGACCCCCATAACACAGAAGCAAACCAAATGACTCGACCAGAAGACACGCAAGCGCTGTCCCTACTGGAAACCACTGGCGACGTTCGTGCAGTCGATTTTGAACAACTTAACAGAGAAATCTGTTTTCAAAAAGGATGAAATTTTCTAAGGACATTAATGTGTGTAAATACATTTTTAAAATAAAGCACACTTTTCCAACAAACGTCTCGAATACTTAGTCGGGTGCTACAGTCCTAGACTTGTCTCATAGTCCGAAGCAGCGAGAAGACGTCTCAACAGTAAAGTAACGTGTTATTGATTGACCAATAGATGCTACCGATGTGGCAGAATTTTTCCTATGTTTTAAGTAGTAATAAGGTCAAATGTAAGCACAGAGTGGACGCATTTATTTGACGAGGAGATTTACAAAGATATCACGAAACCAGATTCATCGAAGCACATTTCTTCGCTGTTGACTTTCGCCGCTTCTTTCGATTTCGCAATACCTTCAGCTTCCGTTTTTTCGAGGCTGACATCGGTGTTGCCACTGAAGTTTTGTGACCTGTACTAAAATTCATTGTCGTAGATTTCTGTTTGCCTTTTTCTAAGGAGGGCACAAACTGAGTTTTTTCTAATTCTAGCAGGCTTGTAGGATCGGCCAGGTTTGCAGGGGTTGGGGCAATGGTGATGCTATATGTCTTTGCGATGCTATCGAGGTGGGCTGCATCGTCGCCACCAGCCACAAAGCTAATGGCCAAGCCGCGACGACCGAAACGACCAGACCGGCCGATCCGATGGAGGTAGACTGCTGCTGTCTGCGGCAGATCATAATTCACCACCAGGCCTACCGTCTGTACATCAATTCCACGCGCCCAGATGTCCGTGGTGACGAGAACACGACTGAAAATGGGGATTTATTTGCAAAAAGTAAAAATTCCATTATAAAAATTAGAAAAATGGGCGCGACGAAGTTGAAAATCGAACCGTGGGCGCAAACTAAACAGAATTTAGCACTGACAATAACAAACGTTACCTTTGAGCCTAAACTGATAACGCATACGTCTAAACCCTCTGTGCTTCAATAAGAGGATTAATGATACTTTATACTTTTGCAAGTAACTTAATTGATTACTTTGAGACTGGGCATTAACGAAAAATAACTTATGAGTTAGGGATAGTGTGACGTTAATAAAAGATTTGGCAATTCCGATTATGCAATGGCAATTACAAGCCATCGCTTGCCTATAAGCTGTCTAATTTAACGCCGTAAAGACTGCAAATAATTCTTATTTATTTAAGCACCAAATTCAAGGTTAGCGAGACTGGGAATCCATTTGCGACTTGTTTGGCCCTCGAAGAATTCGTAAACTTGAAATATTTTTATAATGTTCGGTGAAAGGTATTTCTGATCAACGATGATTAATCAAATTTTCACCACTCAAAAAACTTCCTTCAAATTGCATTGGTAGTCAGTAACGCAAGAGTATCAGGGAGAAAGATACATTTCAAACTTTCTGCTTTGTTACTGACATTAAAACAGGGGTTTGAATTCGATGCAACTTCGGATCAACAGTGAGAATGAAGCTTAGTGGTGGTGGAAATCATCTTAAAACCGAAAATAGGTAGTAGTTGTTACAAGAACACATTCAAGATTGAAATTGCTTCAATTGTTGATAGTCTGAAGATAATGGATTCGTTATATCGCTGAAGTAAGCAACCGTTGTTTCGATAAATTCATTGCATTTTTTGATAATCGCAGCAATGCAACCAGATAATTCAGGGAACACAACCCTGAAGAAAAACACCAAGTGATTTTAAAACTAGGCTTAAATGACTTGGGAAAAATAGCACTGCAGTTAAGTGAAGCACTGTGAATGAATATCAAGATCATCTAAGTATATACGTCCACGGTATTACGCGTTTCAAGGCCCCAAGTACCAAGATTGACCCAGATCAAATGATTTTACAACTTTTATGGCTATGGGTGGCGTGCCCCACTAAGAACACGAAGTTGACGAAAAGATAAGGCCACTAGTTGGACCTGCTGAGCGTCTGCGGGTGGGTGGATGCGAGATAACGATATGCATGTATATGCAGTCAAAAGTCCCACCCACATATTCGCCACACCCCTGACTATCGCTGACCTCGAATGCTGGCGCCAGGTGTCCTGAGGACACCAGGATAGGTAAAGACAATAATGTATAAACTCCCCTTTACATGGCCTCAGACATACACACGCGACATTTGACCTTTGGGGCTATCTCGCCTGAGTAAACAGATGTATGAGTGAACGAGACTCATTATGAGTCATCATCAAACCAACTCCGCACCTGGGTTTAGCCTGACGGTGTGAACAGTGCCTGGCGCGGATACATCCTCATCCTATTTAAAATTGGGATGACATATAACATTAATGAAAAGAAATAATTCGTTCTCGGTTGACTAGTTCAGAAAAAAACAAGCAGAAGTTGGTCTATCACGTAAACACGTAGTGTTAATGGCTTTTGGTGTTTTTTGAGCACCAATACATCGCGCAGGTGACCTACTTTAATGATTGATAAAGTCAGTGAATCAATTCCACCTAAATCCATTTCGAATTTTTGCCTATTTTCGTTTCTCATCCGAACCACATAACACAACACAATCTAACTTGACAGTGTGAAAAAGGACGCTGCGTAGATGTCGTATGACCACAATGGAGGGAAAAAAGATTGGACAAAGGAGGAAACCACCATGCGCTAGTTTGAGCTGGTGCTGGTATCTTATTCGGGCGTAATCGTCATGGTAACGCCCTATGGTACTGGAACTTACTGGAACATTAGGGCAGGTAGAAACGAACTTAGAAGGGGGATCCGGCTTAACGATCAAAACGGATGGCCGTTGATGATGCGAGAGTTTGATGACAACTTACTTATCATCTGATCAATTTTTAACAAATGAAATATTTCCTCAACGTCCTTCTAATACTAATTTTTTTTAGAATCTAAATAGGATTCAGCGCGTTCAGTTGAAGAGTGGGCACATACATTTCTTGAACAGCTTAAAGATTAAAGTTTGAATGAATACGAATTAACAGCTTCCCCAAAGTAGAAATAATGTTTCATCGACATTGTTTGAAGTACTTTTAATCGGATGACATCAAAATGATGCATGCATTTTTGCAAATGGAGGGGCAGGCTTTTAAGATCACTTTATCGCATATGGTGCCCTTTTGGGTGGATACTCAAAACATCTATTTATATACATCCCAGGTTCGTTAATCACTCTAATCCCTTTAAACATACCATGCAGAAAATGAGTAATCAGGCAGGAATAAACACTTGGTTCGATTGTGAGTCAAATCTTTGTAGAATTTCAGATGATATGCATAGCCGGTTGGTTTGCCCAACCAAAAGCGAGCTGCAACTTTTATGATCAGTGTGGGAAACTCTACTGTCACAAAACAGGTAAAAGCAACCGTATCATAGATTAAGGTCGATCTTATCCCATAGAATTAGGCATTTTATTGCTCAAGTCATGCCATTCAAAAGAAGTGCAAGAACCCAAAGTCAAATCATTTGACTTTCCACTTGATCGATAAAATGGGGAATCTAGAACATACTATTAAACCCCAATGCTGTGATAGGGGGAACTTTTGATGGAGTAACCAACGATGATAAATACATATAACAAAAAAGGAACTATGTGGATGCCCAATAGCAGCTGCACATGATTAACCAAGTAATTTTGAACGGACAAACAAACACTGCATTGTTTGCCATAAACGAAGACAGGCACGAACCTTCTACCTGCCCGAAACGCATTCATTACACGATCTCTTGTTGCCTGATCGAGATCGCCGTGAGCAGCAGTCGCCGTAAAGCCGTCTACGCACAGTCGCCCCGATAACCAGTCCGCCTTATGTCGGGTGTTCACAAAAATTACTGTCTGCGGGACGCATATTGAGGCGAAGATGTCGGTAAGTGTCTCGAATTTCCACTCCTCACTAGCTGTGTCGATGTAATACTGCGTTATGCCCGACAGACTCAACTCATCCCTAAAAAGCATGGCCATTTTCAAACATGGACGTCTATAAAACAATAATTTCTATTTATAGTAAGTGCAAAATACTGAGGGACGAGTAAGCAGACGGGGTTTCCGAGGAAATGTTCCATCACATCTCGACACCCAGATGTCCATGTAGCAGAAACCACGACTCTTTGCATTGGAGACTTCACAACACCCTGAGAAGGCTCCACTTCCGCGTTCCTTGTCTTAGCGGGAAGATACTTGAAAATCAGCTCGAGTTGCTCTCGAAGACCCCGGTTTAGCATCTCATCTGCTTCATCTATAACAGTGATCCGCAGATTGGACGGTTTCAGAAAGCCACTTCGAAGGAGATCTACCCAGCGGAAGCACACAGTGCAATTAAATTGATAATTATTCAAAATAAACTCATCAGTTTAGCGGATTAAATTAGCATAATGTGTGGAAGAACAGAGATATAAATATGGCTCTATTATTGAAAAATGAAGACAAATTTTACTTCGAGTTATTGAAATCGCTGTTACATCAAAACAGAAATTTGCCGAAATGCGGGGAATTACAGACCAAAATGCTCATCTTTTACTTTTAAACACGAAACACAGCCTCACCGATGAAGAACTAAAATGAACAACCTGCACAAATCCTACTAAAACGAAATAAAAACACCAAAAAGTTGAAAACTTGCACCTTTGCTGATGAACGAGAACGTTAATCCCTTACACAGTATACATATTAGAAAGGAGACAAATAAATAGTTAAAGGAATGCTGAAATAACACCAGCCAAACTGCTGTAAAAATTGTTCGAAAGATAATTTAGTCGAGTCTCCATTCGGCAAGCACAAACTGACAATTGTCATAATATTATTTCTACTTAGCTTTATTAGTAAAAATGTTTATAATTTAGGCATTCAGAAAAGGTCTACGCGGATCACCAAACTGCTGTGACCGTGATTGTTCAAATGACAAAATCACACAAGAAGCCATCCCTACATTCACTAGTACACACCTTATTTACAGTAAATCATCATATGTTATCAGAACAATGTAAAAATTCGTTCACATCGGTGCCTACCCAGGTCAAATTGGACCCGTTGAGATCTGCGGTAGAGCAGAACAAACTTAGGGTACGTAGGCATGAAAAAGGGTTGGATGGCTCAGTGAACAATCTCGACGTGTAAGTCGGATAAAATACTCATAGGATTAAGAGCCTAATGCTTTATTAATATCCCAATTTTTCAGATATGTACTCACTCAACGAATGCGCTGCGAATTAAAAAATGCTAGTTCTATGCTTCTTCTATCAGTAAACTTAAATTTACAAATATGGAGCATTGAATAAACCGCAATGAAATCCACTGGGCATGTGGTAAATTACTCATGATATTCCAACTTTAATCTTGGCACGTTTAGATTTAATGAGTCAATCAATAGAAATAGTTGTTGTTCGATTGATATTTAATAAGTACGTAAATATTTATCTGCTTCATTAACGACTTTATCAACGATTTCGTACCTTACAATACCACCAGCCTTAATGAGCAGGGAAAATGTAACCCTAGCACAAACTAACAGGGCTGCTAGATGCGAGAAAGAACGGTGAAACATCACCTCGGATACAAGTGAAGAGTATGGTTCCATTATTAGAGGGATTTACACCCTATCTGGTAAGCATAATCTGACCTTAATTATTTAAACTGATGATATTTGAATAAGTATTCAACGAAAGTCAAAATTCCGTGTGTCAGCATTTACAAAAAACATAACCCAGTGCAGACTAATGCTGATGTTTAAGGTCGAGATTTAATGTTAAAATCTGTCGATTCAATGACAATTTAATTTGGGATAATACCGAAAAGGGACCATTTGGTGTCTGCATCAGTGACAAGGGATAACTGTTAGATTAAAAAAATAACAAGATGCCGATGAAATTTGAAGCAAAACCTTTTATCACTTAAATATGACCAATAGGCAAAAAATATTTACAGGACATCACACATGTATGAAGAAAATATGAATTTTGCTCTTCGAGTAAACGAAATTAAAGACGCAAACTATACCCAAAATACGACCGGGGGTACCGACAACAATCTGATAGCCCAGGCCCAGACTTTTGCTCATCTGACCGACATTATTCCTCCCACCGCAACATAGCACGCATTTGATAGAGAGGTGGTCTGCCAGTGCCGTGACTACCTTGAGGTACAGGGAGAAAAATTATTTAAATGGGGATGTTCGACGACTCAAGAGAAAATGTCGAAAACATCTTATAGATCATCAACATCACGCTTTTAAAAAGGCGTGTCCAAGAGATTCGCCAGTTGAAAAATAAACAATTGCACAATCATAAAATACACTCTCCAAGTCAATGTTACAAATTTTAATTAGGAAGGTTCAATTTATTGATTTCCTTGTCATTTTATGAAAAATAAACATAAACCCTAATGTAATGGTCGTGTGCTGTCGAACTCATACCATAACCAAAAGGATAAGCAAAATACACAACTTATTAAGCAAAATGAAGTCACGTAAGCGCAACTGACAAACCCGATGAACTTGTGAGGCCAATTCCCGAGTAGGAGCGAGAAACAAGGCTTGCGTTTCCCTTCGAGAGGGATCCAGCAGTTGAAGCGTGCCAATGCAAAAAGTTGCCGTCTTACCAGTTCCGCTCTGGGCTTGAACCACGACGTCACGACCTCGTATGATTTGACTGATGGCGCGTTGTTGAACTAAAGACGGTCTCTCGTAACCTAAATTTATTAACCGAAGTGTAAAACAGTATAGTTTTTGGTCTGTCTATCCATGGGTAATGTTGAATACAAAGAGCAATAAGAAACGAAAACCCGACAAATCCGCACAGCCCATGTAACAAACAGCAAGGATGATGGGCAAAATTTTGCGAAAATTATACAACGATAAACAGTGATACCATAGTCGTAGATTCCACGGAGAAGATCTGATTTGAGACCCATCTCCTTAAAAGAAGTTATAACCGGAACATTTTCAGAAAGTGCTATATCCTCACGGTTCTCAGAACTGGCTTTCAGATTTTCAAGCATTTCTAAAAGTAGAAAGTAGAAGAAACCAAGGTTTACCCAAAAGTAACTAAATGTCGTACATAGCTGAGTCCAGATTCCAGCATGACGATGGAAACCGTACGAGTTGCGACAAAAAACTTAATGGTCAAGAATGTGAAACGATAACACTAAAAAACCGTAAAGAAAGGAGTTTGCATCAAGCTTTGGTGGACTAAAACCCTGCATAACTCGAAGAACTAACCGCAAACACCACGATGCGTGCGAACACCGCGAAGGTTAAAAAAAAGCGCTGTGGTTGCGAATTAGTGTTAACACGATTCCATTTCAATCATTGTTATTAAAGGCATAAAATGGCAAGAAAAAGCTACTTATGGCAGCAGTAGACAGTATATTTAAAAAGGGTCTAAGCAGTCTACGTTTAACGAACATTCCATCATTATTTATTTAGACTAATCTGATTCCTGAAAATCAGGTACATGGCTAGACTCAAGAGGATTAATGGAGCTCTTCCTTTACTTTAATATGCAAAACTACCTAGTATTAAAATTGGTAGAGTAAATAGTGTTAAATATTTTGTTTGGATGGCCCCAGACAGTGAGCAAATTTCACTTTGAGTTAGGTCCATTGCCTATCAGCTATTTTATAATGGATGACCTTGGGGTGGCTTTAAACTACTCAATAAATAGCGCTTTAGGCAAAGTATTCCGTCTATATCAGTTTATGGCCTTTACGTTTGCTTTGCATGCTTGCACAAGAACTGCTCGCCTATGTTATTAAATTCATTCGTTCTTCTATTTTTCCGTGAGTTTGTTACTCTTCTCTCCCAGAGTTGTAGCTGCCTTACCTTTCCCTTCTGTCATCATTGTTATCAAGTAATTTGAATATGTTAAGTAAACCAGTGCACAGTTATGTGGTTCTTTTACGCCTAAAACATGTATTAGAATGCAGTGTATTAATTTGTGGGTTCTGATTGCACAACAGGATACTCGAGTACATTTACCTATTCAATAGCTTATGAATAACAAGATGGTAATGAGAACCTACAGATTGAGATTTTACGCAGTAATTTAAGTGCTACAATGCATAGATTTTGTGACACGGATTCGCTGATATGCCATGCGTTAAGTTCTCTGAACCCCTTAGATTCTTTTTGTAGCTTACTTTGCCAGAGGCCTCAACTGTTATGTATGTAACTCCTCCGTTGATCCTGGATGTCTCGACAGCGGATTTCAAGCTCATATAATTAACTCAGACGTGCAACCTTTGCCGTGCAACGTTCGTGACGCCCAGTTCTGCATAAAAACTACTACCGTATACGGAGGCAAATCTCTCTTGCATACAAAAGGTTCTGCTCGTTTTGAGTTATGCACTGACTTAATTAATTTTCTTTTAGCTATCATGGGTACAACGCGATTCTGCAGCAGCAAGTCTCTCGGTGACCAATGTCAATATGTCGACTTTCCCGATCACGATAGAATTTATCAAGCGTGTGTTTTTACCTGTGAAGAGGATGCCTGTAACACATCAAGTAGTCGCTTCCAAGATTTAGACGTTTGCTCAATGTTTTTCATTATTATGGTACCTTTGTTAGACGCAGGGCTCCTCCTTTTATAGAACAAAAGCGGATTTTTATTTACTATCTGCATACATATGCCACAGTATTGATCGCTGTACTAGTACTGTTGGGTCACGTTGTTCAACCTGCAATACCGAAAGAGAAAATAAATATGTTAATAAATCTGTGACTATGGTTTGCTAAAAAGACAGTAGACTATCCTTAAAGATATACCATAGCATGGCTATTGTGTCGGATGTAAGGCTGACGTGTGAACATGCAATCAGGTAAACTTAATACATAAGTCTTACTAATAAACGCATAAGAAAAAGGCAAATTCCTAAACAGAAATGGGTGAATCTTGGTACCAGTAGGCAACCAATCACCATTTGACCCAAGGCAAAATTGACGTTCCAAAGTTATATGTCTTCCATACTTACTCTAGTCGCTTACGTGGGATTTTCAGCCGTAGTCTCTTCCAGTCGATGTACTAACACCTGGTGCTTTAGAACAGCCATTTCATCTGCGAACTCCTAAGAAATTAGAGGTTATTTATGGAAGTGATGTCAAAATAATACTGTCCTTAAATATAGTTGGTGAAATTTGAGCTTCAACACCTAAGTGGACAGGTGTTTAATGCTTCACCAACTGAAATAAGCATTGAGGAATTTGTACAAATGCGTTTGAAGATATCCCTAAGCAGCTAATTTAAATATTGCATATTTTTGGCCATTAACTTACCATACATCACGCTCAATATAGCGGTGTGATTACTTTAATCCAAATTATTTGTGTATTTTAAAGGCACTGTAGTTTCTAATCCCACTTTCGATAGACATGTTTTAATGCATAACTAACAGGTAAAAGCAATCCTACTTTGAAGCAGTAGTGGCAAATTTTTGCAACTGTGCTCCTGTCAAGCGCCACGGCAACATGAGGTGGCAGGAGTCGTTGCAACGGGTGGTCGTAGAGTATTACTGGAGTAGTAGAATTCGGCGAATATCTGTTGACTAGGGCAGATAACTGTGGATGCTGTTGTTGCTGCTGTTGTGCGTGCACATTTGAGTGTGTCTTTGTCGTCGCCATTCTTACGTCCCTTGTTTGAGATTTCGATTCAGCAATGGCCTGTATAGGAGGATGAAACACAACTGGGAGAGGATTTTTAATTGGGCAGATGCGCATTTGGAACGAGGTGGGAAGATCAAAATTTTTTACCTCGATTCAGACTCACTAAATAAGAACCGCTTGGCACAAATACGTGCTTAAATATGCCGAAGACATTACAATTTTTTAACACAAAGCTTAGCTGATGCCGTAAGTAATATGCAGACCCTAATATTTAACTTGAATTTTTTAATCGCCGTTGTTTTTACCATTTTCTAAAGTCACCTCGTTATTGCTTGACACATTTGGAAAACATCTAATAATATTCATTATTTGGATTGGTCTGGTTAGTTGGAGCTGCTTTACAACGCGTGTATCGCTTTGTTTTGGCCTTTACAACTATATGAAATCAATGGTTCTTAACCGGATTAAAACTGCCATCATTTCATTACGCGCATCAATGATTCATGGCGGTACTGTAATGTTCACGAAAATCAGACTTCAGAAAAAATTCATTTCTGATTTTTGTTAAATTTTTGCCGCAAAATCCACTTCAAAGGCATATTTTTTCATACCTATTGATAGAAATATTAACGAAGGGAACTTTTTGACAAAATTTATTCTTAAACAAAAACATTTCATTAACGATAAAATCTTAAAAGTTGGCATTAAAAGTGCACTTGAAACACTATTGATGCGCCTTCACATAAAAGAAATAAACAACAACCGAAAAACAATACAAATTTTGTAAAGTTGGACGCGCAATATCCCTTAAAAGCTGGAGAATCCATACATAAAGTCCTGATCGATAAGCTGTCTATATGTGAACAGTTGTTGTGTTTAAGTTATTCTGCAATTATTAACCTGAGACAATTTTTCGCCACCGTCGTTGCCTACGAATTCCTTGTAGTCCATGACTTTCCAATTCTGTGAAGCAGAACCGGGGAAGAGTGTCGAGTGAGTGGAGAGAAGGAGGTCGCTGACGAGAATAGATGCAATCACTGGATCGATAAGCTGTTGAGGACTCTTGAAGTTCCCTGTTGTTGTTGCTAATGCCGTCGCTGATGGCGGTGGTGATGGCAATAAGGGCTGCGGTAGGGAGGGGAAGACTACATTTCCCGGACACCTTTGTAGATGAACCACAGCTACGTGCGAAGCAAATATGGTCTGGTTGCTGAACCACATGCCACAAATGTTGCACACCACAATAATTTGCATATGAAAATTCTCAAAGTGGTTCTGTTAATAAAGAAAAAAGGAAATCATTAATAGATCGGATGAGTGGGGGGATGTGTAAACGACATATTCCCTTTATGTAACTCATTCAAGGTGAACAGATTTGCACTAAGGCACCTAGATAAATCTAGGTGTAAATACATTACTCGAGGATATTCTTTTCATTACATACATTATTAAACTAGCTGTTTCTTATCCCCTCCTCTTCTAATCGCATTTTTGCAGCAAAAATGTTTTCCTTAAAAATCAGTGATATACTTTCATTTGCATTCATATGTTTACCTGTTAACTACCTATCGTAAGGGAAGAATGGTGAAAATGGTCTTGGTAGCTAAGATGAAATTCCGGTGAAAATAGGAAACAAATTCTGCACCAGTAAAATCGATAGCAGTAAAAATAAACATAGCTTGCATCCGTATCAACGTTTATCAGCCTTAGGATATGCTTTCTATTTGAGTAAAATGAGCGGCAAAGCCCCTACTGCAAGAAATAACTGATGTACAAAAGTGCAGTGATACATTAAGCAGATCATTCTTGACATCAAGGAGAAAAGAATGAGTGGTTGAGGTGTTACTTCGATAATTCCAATAACTCAAAATCCTCTTTTAATTTCTTGTATTCTAATATTTTTAGCAAAAATTAATCAGGTTATCGTAAAAATCATTTTCCCCTCCCTTTATTTAACTTTTGGAAGTCCATCTGGCGTATTACAGTCATATAGTTGCAATTTTTACTGGATATCTGCTTGGGAAATTTCGAATTTTATGCTTAGCATGCATAAGTGATTTTGACTGGTAGGCATGAATTTCAATTACATATACTATAAAACGCTTTAGCTTAACATTTAGGCTCAGCCCAAAGGCCTCAAATAATCTAAAGACTCCATTTTCCTGTACGCAACAAGGGGAAGCGGATACACCCTAGGTATCTTTTGATTTTATGTTGTCTCTTTCCGTCAACTTTTTAAAATATCCGTGATTGATGTGTTTATGATAAACAAATTATCACTGCAGATTTCTTCAGCGTCAGAAAACCGCGCGACTAACGTTCCTTCCGCTTGGTTCATTTTCGAATAATCTAGAAACATTCGCCGTCCACGCTCTAGTTGACTTCCTGTCTGGCCAGCATTGCTTCCGGGTGTACTTTACATGCGTTAGTACTCCCTTTTGCCCTAAGGTCATTCAAAGAGAAAAATATGCTGGAGCTGTGGACTCTGTTTACCTCAATATCTCAGGAGTATACGTGCTGTACTACATGTAGGATATTGGGTTGTGGTAGTACAGACCTCTACTTTGAAGTTCTTGTCTACTTAGGTCCTCCAACGTACATTAGCCGATCACATTCGTTCTCACATATTAGCAGTTCATAACATTTATTAAATAATGATTCATACGAATCAACCTGTGTACCACCGCAAGTTTTTGTTGTTCTGAACTTAACCAGTAGTTCAGCAAGAGAAGCTAGAAAAGCTCACCACCGCCGCTTGGATGCCAGAAATCCGTTGGAATGCCGGACATGCCGGACAGTGAAAGCTAACCTGTCCCTCCTCTTCCACGGAACCAGTTGCAGCTGGTTGTTCATCACTACGTGTTGTGGCTATAGAAGAAACTCGTTTCGAATCGCGGTGTCGCTTTCGACCACTTCGGAGGAGTTTTAAACGACGACTACTTTTGAGAAGAGAGGATCTTGCCAATAAAAGGCAGGAACGATCACACGATGCTAATGGTGATTTCCTCCACCGATGCGTTGTCATGTGGTCTAAAAAGTGGTCAAGGGTGAGCTGCTCTTCGCTGCAGACCGGGCAGATGTAGATACTAGCCGAAGGTGGTGTCTGCATACTGGGTGGAAGAGACTTTCGTTGAAGAGTCAGATCGATGGGAAGGACGTCTTCGTCTATCATGACCTTCTCGCTGCTGGCATTTCGAGATGAATCTGCCAAAATTTTGACAATGAATTATAACTAGGACTGTTTTGCGCCTAAGTCAATTTAAATGAGGCTAGTCATAAAAATGACTTCAACATAGGTTTCAATGAATTGTGACAACATATCACAATTCATATAGGCAATGTTATTTTTTGTACTAAAATTAAGTCATACATGATCTAAAAATCAGCATTGAATTATCGGAATGTATAGCATCAGAAAAATAGTTAATAGATATTTAAATTTGTAATTAGAACACAAGCTAACCGGTAAGTTTAGTAAATTGCAGTCAAAGGAAAACATGAGTATCAGCGTAGGCTGTGTGAGAAATTTGCGCCTTAACCACCAACGATAGGACCGCTCTTCCTAATCTTAAGACCAGAAAATCAGAGTTTTCTATCTCGCTCTCAAGCAGTATCACGATTTCCCCAGAGATGGTGAGAGAGGAAGGAGAGAGGAAGAAACAAGCCTTTATGAGGGAACGGAAAGATGCTGAAATTGTGCTTCCCTTAAAGATCTGTTCTTTACTCAGATTCCCATTTACACTTAGCCGGAACTAGAGAAGAGAGGCAAGGTGTGCAGTCTATGGTGTGAACCAAAACCACAGCACCAACGACAAGTACTAACGCCACTACGTCTAATACTGCTGCTTTGATCCCTAGGGAAATCTTCACTCACGCTAACGCATCTCCACTCCAACTTTCTCGCTATCCCAGGGGAGCACCCATGTTCACCTTCGCGAGTTGTCTTTTCCCTCTCCTCCCTTTCCCTTCATCCCCCCACCACTACCACCACCTCCTTACCGTCCCCATGAGAATTTAGGTGTTTCCAAAGGGCTTCGCTCCACCGCTCGATAATCCAAAACCACCATACTTTCTCGATTTTCTTTCACTTCCAGTTGGATCTTACAATACATTAGAAAGCACTCTTAAACCCCTATTATCCTGCATTTCTTTCAGCCAAACTCAGATGCATCGATTGCATACGCGTCACTAACAAACACCATTACAAACTGTCTGCACTAATAATAACAATAAACAGGAATTTTCCGTTAATCTGCGTGAACTCTGATAAATAGAGTTATTTACATAAGATAGTAATAAACCGATATTCATACATTTTTACACTACTGATATATTTCCCCAAAATTTAACATTAAACAAACGATTTTCATCCACTTAATGCTTCGAAGTTTCATGATTTATAAATTAGCATTCTAGCAAATTGCCTTTGTCTGGATCTGTGCATCCTACGTTTAATAAACTGCCAAACATTTATGAGTGATGTGTAGTAAGAGCAAACAATGGGTTTACCTCATTAAGCAAACATAATTTTGTTTAACATAAAGCATTTTACAGTAAATTTCTGTTGGAATTTGTAAAAGTGCTCATAGTTGTAACATTTTACTAAAAGTTCCACTGAGTGACAGGCAGAGGTTGACAATATCAATGGTTTCAAAGTGTTTTCATTTTACTGATCGTCATGATTACTTTTAAGTGCAATCCAAAACTATCCGAGGTAATTTGCGCAGATTAAAAAGTAATTTTAGTCTGAAGAATAAATGTCACACACATCATTAACAATAGTTTTCAGAAGGCTGGGGTTTGCTAATATGCATCTCGAAGACGGAAGTTTCGGTGTTAGTAACGTATTCACAGAAATTTGTCACTGAAGACTCATCCTCTAATCATATTACCATCTGCGAGGAATTTGTGAAAGTAATTAAATAATAGAATAAAGGGATTTTGCATGAAATCTCTGAGGGGTGCTCTCATGGGGAACAAGTATGGTATGGTTTCATGTGAAGCTTTAGTAAACAACACTCTCTCATGGAATGTAAGGCATTGCTTTACAAACAATAAGCATGTAGACCTTCATTTATCGGGAGTAGGGCCTAAAAATAAGCAGACCAGTTTTTATAACATAGTACATAATAAAGCATTAAAGTGCCACTATTTTTAATCAATCTCTATTGATTAAACGAACGAACTTAGGAAAGTCTTGCCAACGATTGTGTCCCATTGGGAAAATTACAATGAAAAGCGCAACATCTAACAAAGCTTTTAAGTTATCCTTGGTAAATGATGCTTATCTGTGGCGTGAGTTCCAGGCTTCAAATCTTTTCCTGTGAACAAGCAGTTGACAGTAAAAAAGCAAAAATAGGAAAAAAATTTACACGAGTCAAAATAGTGAGAATTTTGCCCTTTAGATTAATCATTGCTTAACTTTATGTGTTTCAAAGTGTGATAACTTCTGCAGACTTTCCACAATGGTTATACACTTTGAACCAATGGATTAAAGAGATATCGTGTATATAAACAACAAATCAATTGATTTTACTCAGCAAAAAAAGCTATTAATTTACTAGCATCTCTTCTTGGACATGACTAAAAATGGAGATCAGAAGCAGGAAAATTGTCACCTGTGAAGAAAAAGTGCTGCTGCTGATTTAAAATTCTATGTTCAGTCGTTTGTTGCTAGAGCAACTGGTACTAGGACGAGTTGCAGTTAATCCCTCAATGATACCCATTGTCACATTTTTAAAAACCTTTACACAATTTCCAAATTTTGTTCAAACAACCTTCAATGATACCATCAAAGTAAGGATCATTACAAAATACCATAAAACTATGCAGATTTTGCAAACTATTTAATGAAATCAACGCATTATGAAAAACAGTGTCCAAAAGATAAATTTAAAGGAATAAATCCACTGAGAAAAAAAGCAATCAATATAGTTGTGACAGCAGGCGCAAGCTGTTCAGAATTAAATGCCTACCACTTTTGCTGGCACATACATACCACTAGATTTATCTGAAACGTTTTATTTACTCTAAATTTTTGAATCCTATAAGCCAGTACATATTATCCAATATTACAGGCAAATCCTATGTAAAACGTAATCGCCTGCTGCTTCTGCTTGGAAAAATATAGTCAATTAAAGTTTCCACTCAAATGATTATTATTTACATTAATATTTACCCAATTATACAAAGCAGGTGTACTGCGGTTGGATTTGCATTCGGACTTCTAAAATATATTTCATACAATCCTATGATCATATCTGACACACCAGAACCGATGCTGAATTCATGATCGAAATTTGTGCTGTGCTTTTTACTTAGAATGATCGCGAATTTTGCGAACAAGTGTGGTTAAATCTTAAATTAACTTATGGAAAAATCTAATATATCATGTAAAAATAATTCGCGTGGGACGAAATTTGCTATTTTCTTTGCAAATGGTAGCATGAAAGTAGTCAACTACATAAATCCGCAAGTTTCATAGGTGAATTATCATCTAACGATAATATTGTCTCACTTATCAACATTTGTTTGGCTGCTGGTAGTTGAATATCCTCAAGTGGTTCAGCTGGAATTTCGCGTATTTCCAGCACAGACCACAAGCCATCGTTCAAAGCCCAGTGCAAAAAAACTGCATTTCAAGTTTTCGAAGTTGCAAAATTCTACAGCATTAAAACTATCTTGTTGCTAAACAAATTGCTTCGTTTGAGAATCCAATTTAACTGAAAAGTCGAAACGATTCATAGGATATTTTAGAAAGAACCCTGATTATAATCGGTGAGGCAACCACAGATGACTTACATTGGGTAGAGTCGGATAAAACCGCTCGTTGGGGCACTCTTCTCTCAACCGAGGCCATGGAAGGCAATCTATGATGACTGTATGCTCGAGTGAGTAGCCTTCAGTGTTTACACATCCCCCAGCATGGGCTTCCGCGCGCATGTATGCGGGAATGTGGTTGGACAGGCATCAGGTGATGCAACAGCCAATGATGACGTGCCTAGAGCAAAATTTTCGAGTGATCAGAACGCTGAGTTCGCATCTTCGGTTTTATTAAAATATGCTATTTTCGTCATAATGTAGCTAAAATTCGATTAAACAAATAAACTTCGAAGAGTGAGTTGCACGACCACTTAAAATTTGCATTATGAAGGAACGAATGGCAGTCAAATAACAAAAATTAAATAATTTTTGACCTTCATTTTTCTTAAAGGGTTAAGATGATTTCCGTAGGGTAGAAGTAGAACAACTTCAGAGGCTTTTCGAGGCTTCTCTTGTTAATCCCCGACTTCGACCAAATGGATTGAAAAGCTGCTTGGTAGAAAGCGCAGCGTATTATGTAAGGAAGTACTGATTTGCAGAAAAGGGAATAAAGTTTGCAAGAAACTGAGCTTGAGGGAAAGACAGCACCAATGAAATCATGGGATTTTTCAGGCTGGTAGAATTGTAATCTAGAAGAATAGCAAAATAGGGATGCATAAAATTTTACAGCTTGCTCGCATTGACGAAATACTAAAGTACTTTTAAAATAGTGTAGGATTCCTAATTAGTCCAAATTAAAGGCTAACTTGTATTCCTCTGCACTAATCAACATCCTTTTATTGAATCTGTTCAGCGCAGTGCTCATTCATGCAAATTCTTGAAGTTCTTCCAATGTAATAAGCAAGTTAGTTAAGCTCATAGGTGGGGATACCTAAATAGCCAACTGCTGTATAGATATTTAATTTTGGAGATTCCTGATCAAAATGAGGTTTTTCGTACCCACAAAAGTTAAATTAATGATCATCTCATAATCTGCTCTCTCGTTCAATCTCTACAGTAGGTGTAAACCGACTCGATTCATGTGCGGCTAATTGATAAGAATACCAAAATTAGATTGTGTCAGGGTAAGGGAAGTCGATTTGTAATATGGGAATTAGCCGAGCGTTGCGGCCTCGAGCGAATCAGCTCGGCACAAACCTCTTTTAGGGCTTGACGACCATCAATTTCCCAGAGGGTTTGCCTGAACCGATACCCATGGGACGGGTCGGGTACTCCCTCGTTGATTATACGCCGGCGTAGGTGGCGCAAGGAACCAGCTGAACATCACTGCAACTCCTAGGGGTGTGTGCGGGTCAGGCAAGGGGAGAAATGGGGTAAAAGCTAGGGGATACGCAAACGGACGGAAGATCACTCGTCTTTCTCGTACCCCAGAGAATTCGGTCTTAAAATTAAGCACAATTTACCTCACGTACCCACTCCGCACGATCTCAGAGCCGCTCTGTCTGCAAATGGTTGGAAATAAAGTGACTACTGAAATGATACTCTAGAGTGCTCTGTCCATTTGTAAATTACAAAGGCAAATCTTTAAGTGTTGCTCAACGGCTTGTATGCAGGATGTCGTAACGAAGGTTGCGTAAAAAGGTACAGCTACGAAGTAAGAGCTAATGAAATGGGCCATAACTACATTTTACGAGGGAGTTAGACAACCTTGGTAACTCTAACATTGGAAATATAAGCAGAATTGGTGAATTCTTAGAGGAAATTTAAGTGACTAAATCACTTATTTTGTTAGGTACTTAAAGCAAAAATCAACTAAAAGTCGTTATAACAATTTAAAGGGTGACATGTTTTGATGATTGAAAAACAACTCTATGGGCTTAAGGAAGTTAAGAGCTATTAGAATTAACATGGTGGAATAAAACAGATATTCAGTAATAGAACTACTAGATAGACAGCAAAACGATAAGGAGTGGTTAGCACTTAGTGTAAATGCACTAATGAATTTGAGATGTTTGCCCTAAGTGGCAAAATCCTAGTCATAAAAGGAAAAAGAGTTGCATATATGAAGTAGTACATACCAATTCCACCTATTTTTTCATGCGTGATTTTATTTGCAAATTATAGTTACTAAAACAGTTTAAGCAGCTTTACATTTCCTTTTGTCATTGCTACAAAGTTGAAGACTCGTAAACAATATGGGATGTTCCACTTTATAATTCACTCCAACACGCTCAGAGTACCAGTTGCAAATGCAACATACCAGTACGTAACTTACTATCACAACTCAAAATGCAGAATAACCTCACTCGGGTACGATAAAATGGTTAGTTTTGTAAGGTAGTGTAACACGCTTAGCAGAAATTGTTTCCAGTTAAAATTTCTGTGGTTTCCGAAACTAGTTATGGCGCTGCAGCGTTGCCATGTTTATTGTACGTGCTTAGGATGGGGGACCATGAGTTCCAGAGATTGCAATTCTGCTAGGGACGCTGCCATCCGGCCGTGACCATAGTTCTCCTCTTTTATGTGGTAATAACTGGCCTATTTCCATACCCTTAGGGCCTACTACGACTTCAGTGAGGACTCGTGATGCTGCATTGGTGGCAGCAGTAACAGGAAGCGATTGATGTTGAGTACAATTCTAATTTTTTTAGTCGGTCACCGTATGAGCGTTACAGGCGAAAGGTATTTACTGTGATGATCCGAAGCTCAGAAGCCTCACTACAGAAGGGTCAAAAATCTCACTTATGATCAATCAACACTTCTTTTGTCAGATCTAACAATCATCGTGTGGGGCAAAATTTCAACAAATTGCAAATTGTCTCAAAAAAAGGGCTGGCTCTACATCATTTTTCAAAATGGTTTTTTTTTAGGATCTGTAGCCACCGACAGCTAAATGTTCGTTGTAAACAACACCCAGCATTTAGGATCATCACCGAGTAAATTTTCTCCCAATAGAATTCGCTCAGCTGGCTAGGCGTTACTTAAAAACCTAGACGGCCAGATGTACAGTGCGTACTACGGCGAATAACATTCTCCCTCCGTTGCGAATTCAATACTCCATCTTTGACCCTGTCTACTTAGTTGCAATCCACTTTAAAATTAGTTACAGCCACGGGGCGTGACGAGCTATGTTCGAACTGATGTGCAGTGGTGTCACACATTATGAAACCGTATGGTTAAGTAGGCGGACACTTCAAAATCCACGGATTTTAATTCTACTCGCAGCCTGTCTCAACAGGAGTGCTGCAAAGGCCATCTAGCTGAATATACAGCCAAACAAAATATAAATTTAAAATAAAATTTTTGATTTAAAAATTATCTGTGCGTCAGCAATAAACTGTTCAGTTTATAGAATAAGCTCACACAAAATATGTCCTGGTATTTACAAATTTGGATCTCAAGGCCACCATCATAGATGCCGGAAATTTATTTGGGTGTGTATGGTACGATTTCTCCGTGCATATTTGTTTTTATTTCTTTCTTAGATAGGAGATCTGAAAAATGTGGGGTTTTTACCACTAAAATAAACGTTTACGTGTTACCGCTTTGTGTCCTGTCATACGTGTGACGATTTGGATCGTTTAATTACTTCTTGCTAGTCTATCTACGTCGTGTACGTATTTCGTAGCATTTAAAATAATTTAAATTGTGCTTTTAAATGACACTCACCATGTAATATTATTAGGATGGTACGAATTTAGCAGATACTAAGTTTACCACAACTTACTAGCACCATATTTATCCAATGCGCTTTTGTTTGTTCATCCCCGCTTGATCATGTTTGTTTATTCGAACTTCAACTGTTACCAAACTTTTTTATCTAGATATTAGCATGATTGCTTCAAAGTCATCTTGTGGTATCGCGACATCTTTCATTCGTTCCAACTTGTTGCGCCTTCGTTGCTTCGATCCGTCTTACTCAACCAATTCTTCGTTAAACATGCAAGTGTACACCAATCCTGTCTCGAACCTTGTTGTGGGTGTTAAATTATTTTCTCTTACATCGAGTGGCCTCGTTCTTGCTGCTCAACCTTTCCTCTTTTCAAAGTTTGCTACCATGGCAAGTTTCGCACCGTTTCTCATTTCTAGTCTCTCATTTGCTGCCCTTACCCCTGCCATTCTTCACGTATTAACTCGTTCCTGTGTTTTCAAAATCAACTACAATTCTCAAACAGGCCGATTCACGGCTTACACGAAGACCATTTTCCTTCGGCCCAAAAAGGTTGAATTCAGTCTGGAAGAGGTCTCCTATTCTGTCGCCAGTCTGTGCTTTGCCAATATGACTGTAAATAAGAAGACTACCCTCCTAGTACTTGAATCTGGTTTCAGTGACCCTGAAATGAAGAACCAACTTTTTGGTCTTGACAGACCCATCAAGTTCCAATAAACTGTTTTACGAACTCTTGCCATTTTCTACTTGTGTTTCTGAAAGCAGTTATCAGATTAAACGTATGCTTTGTTTACCTTCTAGAGCACATGGTTCTGCTTGCATACACTTTGGTACTCTCTCGCTCCTTATCAACGGCCGGTGTTAGTGTTTATTTGAAGGCGAAAGCACGAGCTTCGGGATATACGGTTTGCAAATTTTCTTGATCTTTATATGAGCCACTGCTTTAGCTGCGTCCCTTTGTCGATATGAAACAGGTTGTAGTGCACGCGGGTAAGGGGGGTGATGGTTGTATTGCCTTTGATCGTTACTTCTGCAACCCTTACAGCGGTCCGAGTGGTGGAGATGGTGGAAACGGAGGTCATGTGATATTTCAAGGTTGCTACTTATTAAAAGCTTAGTAGAAAGTATATTCGATAGCTGCGCTATAAACATTTCCCTTTTCATCTTTGCAGCTGACCCAGAAGTGGTCGACTTCTCCAACGTGAATTCGGTACTTAGGGCTGCTAATGGAAGCAAAGGGTTGGGGGGCAATCGTCATGGTTCCAATGGCAAAAATCTCGTTGTTAAAGTTAGTTGGATTCCCGTTGTCGTCCGAGGTACCTGCATATCAGATATGTCAAATGTCACCAACAGACGATTTTTCCAATCCAGCATTCATTGGAACTGTTTTTAATCCAGACTTAAACCTGCCGCATTTATAAGACAAGATTTCTTCCCGCTTTTTGTTCATGCTTTGAGTTTTAACGCATTTGTCTGTTAGTCTAAGATATGTCATTTATTATTTCTGAATCCGTTCAAATTAGCGAGTTACTATAAAATTTAACACTGTAATTTCTTTTCTTGAGTCACTTTTCGTGGTGCGTTTTTTGCCATGCTCTCTTAAACGACACTGCTAAACTATATGAAAGTGCGAGTGCTATTAATATTTGTCATCCTGTCTGGAATTGAGTTGCATCGTCAACATAAATGTGATTTGTGGCTTCGGATTTTCTAAAAAAACGCACAGAAACATGAAGTTACTTTGACTACTGAATTGAGGAGGGACATTTTCGACATTATGGCTGTTCTCAGATTTTGAGTTTGAAAATTTCTTAATTAACTACTCTGCACGTCCTCTCCTCAAAATATGAACATAGAGGAAATTTTTGCATTTGTTAAGATAATGTACGCTGTAGAATCAGTTTATCAGTGTGCAAAGGTGCGTTTGTTGGAAATGTGAATAGTAAATTCATAATACGTTTGTTGATGGTCAGAACAGTTTGATTTCCTCCATTCCGAGCTTTGTGGATACCGTTGGGCTATAGTGGAAATGGGTACAGCTCCACTTGCGAAAGCTAGAATACGACATTGATAGGTAGAGAGGTTTGAATGGATTCTGTCTGGATCGAATTGGTGATCGCTTCTTGCTGTCGCACTTTTGTTGCATATGGTTTAAATTTTGTTTAGTTTTCATGGTGTTTTAGTGGGTTATTATTTGTTGGCCACTTAAAATGTAATTGAAGGCCGGAGTACGTATCAGACATAATGGCGGTAAAATACCTGGCTGTCATTGGTAATTTCGGCTCAATAGTTTGTTCTTTCTACTTTCCAAACTCTGCTTAAACCTTCCGATTTGGCCATGTCTACTGACCTAATACATCAATACCTCATACCTGTACTACTGCATGAAAATTTGATTGGCTCCAATTTGTAGATTTAATTCAATTTTCTGAACCAATTAAACTTCTTTGGATTCATTTTATGATTTTTAAACAAGTAAGTTGTTCTAGATTTGTAGTGTTCTGCCCAATTGTGGTATTGGATGCTTAGCTGTTGATTTGGATACTGAAAAATAAATTCACTTTTTATTTGTGTGCTTTTTACGTTTTCCTCTCTCGACCAGATGGGTATGAACCGATCACATATTCTCGAATCGAAAAGTCTTTTAAGCCTAGAAGCTTTCTGTGCTTCAATCAGGTGTGATTTTTTCCTTCTTTAGTACAAAAATTTATTTTTTTATGTCTTCTAAAGAGCGGGAATTGTATATCTGGATTGCCGTTAAAACCAATCAAACTTTCCTCCTCGCAGTAAATAGACTTGATGTTAAGGGTTAGATTTTATTGCTGTGACCTCAGGTGAGCAGTTTTCTTCTAAAATGCACCGTTCACTTCTTTAAGGCGAAATTTGGAATTCACTTCTGACAGCCTCTGAAAACTATAGTGAATGAAATTATACCTGTATTTTCTGAAGTTTAGTTACTGTTATGACCTCTATTAATCATATTGCAAAATAAACGTCAAAATTACGCTTGCATTAAATGTTTTCGTTCTTTTTAAAATTGGGAATACTTTCTTGTCAATATTTAAGGTGGGGTAAAATCGGTACTGCTAAGAGAAGTTAGTCTCTTCCTGCATCGTTGCTTTTTGGAATATTGGAATACCGTTTGGACAATCTTGAGGCCACGTAATTTGCAAAATACTATTCAGGCCTTATTGATGACTAGATTAAGTGGACTTTTATCGATAAACACTGAAAAAGTAAATTGATGATGTACAAATTATCAATACATGTCCGAAACCAAGTGAAATTTACCAAATTCGCCTGATAAACTAAATGTAAGAAATTCATCCCCTTAGGTAGCCGTGACTTGAATTTGTAATGCAAGGAAACCTAGTAAGTCATCCTTAAACCGTGGGCTTTGGTCGAATATACCCAAATTCTTACTTTCTTAGGTGCCTTTAGACACGCAGGTCCATTTGTTAGCCTCGAAGGAAGACTCAACCATATCTGCCCACCGTACCGATACTTCGAGTCTTCTGTGGACCCTCGTTGCACCCTCTGAGACTCTGATTGCCGCTCGTGGTGGTGCAGGTGGTCGTGGCAACGCATTTCTTGCTTCCGCCAACCAAAGTAGGAGTGTAGAGGTCCTGCCACGAATTGGCGAGGCTGCCCTGCGGTTTGCTGAGCGCGGTGCTATGGGCCAGTCACGACGGTTGCTGCTACGACTCACCAATTTCACTGACGTAGGGTTGGTGGGTGGTCCTAACTCGGGCAAGTCGACCCTCCTGCGCCGTCTGACTCGAGCTCGACCTCGAGTCGCGCCACATCCCTTCACCACCCTCCAACCACACGTCGGCACTCTCAAAATCCTTCATCGAAATAATGACAAAGGCGGCAACGACAGTGTCAAACTGTTGAGTGCGTTTCTCGTGCTGAACCTTGTTAAGTGACTACCCTGGTTACTAAATGTGGGAAATGATATGGAGCCAAAATCATCTCTGAAAATTCAATGAGGCATACTCATCTGGCGACAAGCACACTGCTGGTGTACTGCTAGATCCGGAGACCACAAGTGTCAAAAACAAAACGAGCTATTTGAATGAAGTTCCCTGAATATGAGCCCTATGCGACCATCGCTGGATAAAAGGGCATTTATGCATGTATGGAACTGTATATTTCGCCACACAGGTGTAATTTAGGGACCACAGACGTGTTACCATTTTTGGGCTCTTCATGAACGTACCTGTAAAATAAGCACATTGACCTTCACAATACACGGCAGTCTACTAAGAAGCTGTTTTGTTGGATTTGGCTCAAAACCGATATAAGGAGGCTGAGTTAGGTACCTGTCAGTCGTTATATTCTAAATTTATACAGAACAATTTCTAGCAGTTCGAGTACAACGTGTATTTTGACACAATTTAGTAGAAAGAGCAAGAAATTCGAGGATAACATCATAAACAGGGCACAATGCTGACACCAAAAGCTTATGACTGGCATGACTAAGAGAAAAGCTGTAGTGCCAAATTCTTTTACTGGTGATGAAATTCAGGTCCGGGTTGTACCACCCAAACGGATCCCAAATGAAATGATATTGGCTAATGGGGGCTGTCGGATAAAGAGCTGAATTGGAATTGGGGACATTGAATGAAATAGGTGTTCATTTGACATTTTTACCATGCGGTGACGCAGTTCCAACTGTGAGTGGATAATAGGAATGCTAAAACATGGTTCATCGCGTCATTTTCACTTTTGCAGTAATATCATTCTAGAATCTTGGTGGGAATGGAACTGTAGTGTCCTATTTTTTATGCAAGATTAATTAAATTAACTTTAAATTAAAATCTCTAAAATGAAATGGGGTTGTGCAAGACGTTTCGTCATTTTTAGTGAACTTGGGCAGCTAATAACTATAAAATTTGAGGTGTTATTACTGATCTACTTCATGTTTGTTATGACTGCTTTTTATTAGAAATTTCGAGGAACCTAATTGTATACTCAAAAGTTCTTAGCAAGACGTATTGAGTTCTAGTTTATTCCGCACATTTCCAACATCCTCGATATTTTTTAGTTTATTCTTAAAGGGCTCATATGATACCTTGTATGCGTTCCACCTGTACTACACCTTGACAGCTTATTTCTCCTCATTAGGATGTACCAAACTGATGACTTAATTAAAGACTCAAACCGTCCATCACTTACTCAGTATTTCCTTCTTTCCTTACAATCATATTTTTTATTTCCAGTTGCAGATTTGCCCGGTCTTATTGAGGGCGCAGCAGAACGCAACGCGGGTTTAGGTGCTCAGTTTCTCAGTCTCATCGAGGGCTGTCGCGTTCTTGTCTATCTAGTCGATGTTGGTACTTTTCTAACTAACGGTTCAAGAGCCTTCTCATTAGCTGAGATCACGGCTCACTTTGCTTGCCAACTGGAAGTGCTCTACCATGAGTTGAAGCTATTTAATCCTCGTCTTGTGAATGATACTGGGAGAACTTCTCTCGTCATTGGCACAAAAATCGATCTCGTCGTTCCGCCTTCATCGGGACAAGAGACTCTCCACAAACTCTCCACCTGTCTATCCGATGCTGCTACACAGGCGGGTTTGCTGTCTCCAAAAGTGCTGCTTATCTCGGCACGGCGAGGTGACAATGTTGAGCAGTTGGTAGAGATACTTGGAAATATGGGATTTGATGATAAATAGAAGCGCTCATAGGGATTCCGTGGTTTCTGGGTTTCATTAGGTTTAAAAACTATCCGATTAATTTAAGTATTTAAGGGTCGGCAAGTAATGATCACTAGATGTTTTGCTTTTTTTCTGGGATTTTGTGGGCTTGATTATAAATAGTGGAATGCCAGTTAAGCATGTGATGGGTTAAGTTTAGCGTAGATCTGTCCTTTCACATAAGTTTGTAAAATATGTTAGTACCATCGCAGTTCAACTTTCGAGTAAACGGCATATCATTTTGGGAAAAAGAAGCTTAATTTTTACCTGCTGCTGTAGATTACCGAGTTTACATATTTATCATATACTCGGAAACACGTTAGTTGTGAAAATGTTTTTAAAACTTATGGAGCAGATTCCTGGCACCTAATTTTCCGAGTTTGCCGAAATCCAGCCTTTACTGACCGAGTGAAGTGCTGCACAAGCAGATGATTTAAGGCCGACACTAATCTTTTTATTGGAACAACGTGAATTTCGATAGTCAAGGGAGAGGTTTGGAATGGTTAGGGGGCCAGCGAAATTACTATTATATGTAGGAGCTGGCAAGTATTTTACGTTCTTTGGTGTTTGATTTTGTTTGTTGATTCTTTTCACTTGTAGCAGTACTAAGATGGAAAGCATCTTACAAGTTTCTTAAGAGTCCCTCGGAGAAAGTATCAGATTTGACCTCTTGGCCATTGGCTGAAAGTAAGGCTTTGATCGGCCATACATGACCACATGCAATAAGTTTAAGTGAAAAGAATGGTTACTTATGCTTTGTTGAAGTATTGAGCTTAGAGGTTAGGTATTTAGCTTAATAACTCAATTATTTGATTTCTTTTGTATAGAAAACGATTTTGACGAAAGTCTTACTTATGGTTTATGCATAATCATTTTTTAATAATTTTGCAGTTATGCGGTAACGGCTTCATAGTGCTGAAATGCCTTGAGAACAACGTAAAGTGATGAGTGGGCAGCAACCACATGAGGTTTGTATAAATAATTAACTCAGAATAATTGGGCTTATCGAAATTTGACAAAAACTTAGGTGGATCAATGGATCCATTTAACCAATGCGTCCTCAGCTATTGTAGAATACAAGTGCTCCAAAAGTATAAGCTTCGAATGGAAGGAGGTCATAGCAGAAGAGTGCTTATTGATATGTGTTTCCCTATTATTGATCCGGAGTGGAGATAGGCATCTACTAAGCAAAGTTGGAAAAAAAATTGCAAAAAAGTTACGGTGGATATAGATATTTAATACGATGAAGAACTTCCGCAGAGTGGAGAATCGTATTCGTCTTAAACCATAGGAGACAAAATTTGCCCTATTGATTTTTTTTTTGGACGACCTTGCATTTACTGCATTGGGAATCTATCATTTATTGTTACATAAAAGCAGCAGAGTCGACATTCGCATTTTTGGGTCGATCAGCTAATTCTGCTTTCGCCCTATTTGACCTCTGGTTTTAATTGGAGCCGCAAATTTTTCGGTTTTCGAACAAAATTCGGGGATTTGCGCTTCAAAAAATAATATTGTGCTGGGTATTTCCTTCCGACTAGAATATACGATTTTTAACCAAGTCCTGAAGAGATTACACATTTGTGTACTACTTTATGACTTTGAAAAGCATTGTCTTAGGTGGTTTGCATAAATATGATTGGATTGAGGTGTTCTTGCGAAACCCAATTCACCTTCAGGTACAATTTCTGCGACTATATGTAGTTTCTTCAAAATTTTAAACTCCTATGAAGGTTGCAATGGGATATTTACAATAAATTGCGAGGAAAAACCAGACTTCAAAAAATACTCACCCAGGGCTGCTCTTGGAGTGAAGATGGGGTCGAAATAACAGGAGGCTCTGCTCATCTCGTTACGGCTCCTGTTCCTCATTTTGACGATGCAAGCTTCGACAAGTAATCATAGTCCAAAAAACAACACACCGGAAATAAAATATTTAGTTAGAATCAAGGACTGGGTTTGACAGGCGTTTGGGGTCGTTTGGCCCTCATAAAGGCCTTTTGGTTAGAGCCGTCCTCTATTATCGCCTAATCAACACTAAAATTTTCTAGTTTCTACATTAACTTTGGGTTTTTGGCACAAAGTTGATTTTACAAACCTTATCAAGTTTAGGATCTAGTTTGATAGGGGGGAATGTCGATAAAATGGAGTGCACTAGTTTAAACAAATACTGTTGTAAGTCCGTATTAGCTACCGGGAGTGTTTTTACAATGGTAGAATTATTTCCTAACACCGCTAAGGCTCAAATGAAACGCTTTTTACGTTAATAATTTTAGACTCAAAACTCCCTATTTTTAGAACATTTGCCTTCAAAATCAACAGAATCATAATTTACATGTTCTTGAAGCTTATCTTTGATTAATTTCTAATAATTCTAATAAGTTATCATTCTCTTTAACAACCCCACGAAAATCCCTCTTAGAGACTACTCCCACCTTGATGCAAGAGCTACACTTTGTAGAGTTGGTAGCGGTTGGCTAAACTTGCATCCCCATTAATAATGCTGTCACTTCAGTACGTGGGGAGGCGCCACCATTACACTTTGGGCAAGAGATAGTGAGCAATTAGCCTTGTTATGTCTAGTCTTACATGCATAATAAATTTTATCTAAAAAACTTGCATTTCAGTTTCAATAAAAGTTTAGTGAAAAAATTGTACCAAAAAACGACTGTAAAAGAGGGGAAAAGTTCTGCGAAATAAATCGTAGAATTTACTAGAAGAATGTTAGACTAAGTCGCTGTTTAATTTTGCATTCGAAATTTATGAAACCCTTTGTATTTAAAATTTAAATTCGAATCAAAATTGCTAAAATCTCGCTTGAACACACCTGGGTAATTCATGTTTGTGTGGTAATCAGGGGAAATATGCGCGTATTTCTCATTATTAGAAAATTACTTTGGAGCTTTGACCAAAATTAAAAAGAAATGAAACACCTGACAGTGAATTTACAAAACTCTCGCCTTGACTTGATACATTGACCGTGAAGCTAAATCGTGCCCAAACCCATGAAGAAATCGGAACCTTAAACAAAACAAGATTTTATAACTGCCTAGAGAAATGTTTGAAAGGCAAAAAATAGCTGAACTCTCTGCTTCAGTTGTGTTTAATTGTGTAACACTTTAACCTATTAAATTTAAGTGTAAACAGTTCAAGCTTGCCCCCAAATCCTTCATAAATGTTGCATTGAATTTTGCCATTTTTACAGAAAATCTGAATTTTTTGCAACAGTTGGCGGATCCTTCACGGATTGTAGATGAATATGAGATACTCTCGTGAAATATTATTCTAGATTTGTGTTCTCTATCAGTCGAAATAAATGCAGTCTACTAAGCATTAAGAAGTGCAGGTGGGAACCGGGCAGCAAAGTTGGGCTCATGTTGTAATTGACACGTTACGATGATAAGCCACTTATATTCTTTAAAGAGGTTAAATTATCCATATATATGTAGTTATAAATAATAGCTTTCTTTTAAGTATTCTTTCAGTGTCAATGGTGGAAGCAATAACACTAACCACTGCCAAGTTAAAGAATTTCTTTTTCGGATGATTTTCACTTTAACGTGCCAGACATTCACCACAATTACACGGAGTTAATAATTCAGTTGGCGTTATCTCCTACCGCTGCAGTCGTACTTGACCAATAGCGAGGTCAGAAAACATTGTGGTTGGCCGCTCTACAGGCATATAAACAATAAGGTGAGAGGCGAGGAAGTCAGACAGGTTTCTTGCTTACTATGGAGGACAGCATGCGTACATGCAAGCCAACACTGCTCTTCATGGCTTTCGTCTGTGCCATCGCATTCGTGGCTATGCCTGCTAGATCAGCCAGTGTCTATGTAAATATCCCCGTTTAGCCCATTTTTCTTTTAACTGAGATATTTCCCAGTTCAGAGAAGGATTATTTTCTATTTCCTTATGTGATAAAATGTTTGCATTTAGTTTTGGTTCACTTTCCTTACTAGGTTTCTGACTATTTTATGTTGTATCTTAGGAGGGCAGAAACATAGATGAGGTGTCTAATAAAAGGTTTTAAAAATGCCACTCAGGTAAAATAAAGCTACTGAGAGGCTTTCTCATTATTTTCAACAGGAAGGCACCGAACAAATTTTTGAGAATGATGAGATGATGGAGATCCCTTACAGGCTGATGAAAAAGTGGACGGATTTCAAAAAGCGTTCAATCCCAAGGCGAACTCTTATACCTCATTTTGAGTAATCAAATTACAATGTAATGCATCGAACAGCAAAAGGTTTTCATTCACTTGACGTACTTGGCATCACCTATTCATCAGTAAATAACTTCTGTCTGCCAATGTTTGCATCTTATGGGACATATATCCTGGACCACTCTATTTGCATTTCAAATAATTTACGGGTGAGCGGTGCATCGGCAAGCAATATGTAGTCAACTCAAGCCCAAGTGACATAGTGCAAAGGATTAGACCTAGTGTTGACTGCTGCATTTACATTAGTTTATCTAGGCTTACAATGATTATAAATGGTTGTGAAACCTATTTTACCTATAAGTGGAGAATTTGCAGAGTGGATCGAACGGAACTAAGTAGTCTGTTTGTAATATACAATGTTCCAATCAACGAATGTACAATTTGCCTAAAATTTAAGCGATCTTAACGATTTCACAATGATTTTCACATAATATACTGAGGAATTCAATTTCCATTAAAGGTGGTAATTTGTCGAAAACCGGGAAATGATCAAAGAAGCAACATTTTGAAAGTAATTGTCATTGCTTCAAGCGGACCAAAAACAGTAATAGTACCTTTAAGCCGGTTATTATAAACTCCAATGTACTGTTGTGAGCAATGTATACATAAATCACACTAGTTTCTACTTTCGTCATTTAAAAGCCGAATCCGCCTTAAACCAAAATACTTAGTCGTTAACTGTGCTTTGTTTGCTTTAACAAGTCCGTTCTCAAACCCGAAGAAATTTTCACTCTGAGAAAAACCGGCTGATGGAACTTCGTGATGCGCGAACATCAAGTAGCAATAGGATCTAAGTACTACGCAGACGATTCAAATTTAAATTGTGCTATTATTTTGGTTAAAGTTATACCCACATCAATTTGTCATCTAGTGCGTGCGCGCTGAAAATCGTATATAGGCTTCAGATGAATAACAATCGGGCTTTAGAAAATCCCTCAAAATTGTTTCCTGCTAAATGATTTTAAGTCTGCTTAACCTATAAATAACTATGGGTCCAGAACCACTAAAAAGTGTTGTATGAGGCCATTAATTTCTACCACGCTGTAAAAAGACCATTTAGAACATTCCCCTTTTCTAAGGTAATTCACGAGTTCTTTTTATTAGGTTAAAATATAGCATCAAGAGTGAGCACCTCTTGAAGACTAATGCTGAACTAGTTTATTCAGATCAACTTAACCGTTATTTTTACCAAAGACGTACTTATTAGAAACTCCCTACTGAGTTGTTAGATTGTAGATAGTAAAGGTTCATAGTTCTTTAGAAATTTCCACGCTGAAAAATAAGTCATTTTAAAACCAAGACCCAAAGCAGAAATGAGAACTACATTCGCACGAATCAGTGAATGACTTTTTTGAATAAAGCAGTTTTCGCGAAGACGTAAAAGGTCATGCTAATGGGGTGATTTCAGGTAAAGCATGAAAAGGAAACCGGGTAGCGAACCGGTCTCTTTGACGTGAACTCTTGCCTCAAGAAGGAAGACCAAAAAGTGCCAATTATGTGTAAAAGTTACCAAAGGAGACGAGTTTAGTGCTGCTTCTCAGATATGCTGAAAATGTCTATTAAAAAGCAGTGGTAGCGAAAGTAAAAGAAGCGTGCATGGCAAGTAATTACGCAGGTAAGTGAAAAGAGTTTCCACGTTGTTGCATTCGGACTATTGCAACCGAATTCGGTCGGGATCATCAGTGTGTTAGTTGGGATATAGCTAATATTTCAGATGTATTTAAGGTACCCAAATAATCCAGTGATGATTATTTCAAACTGAATCTAAATCAAATTTTCCCAAAGACGCAAATTTTCATCACTGAAAACGGAGTACGATTTTATGCTCATCTTCTAAAACTTAGTCCACCACTTTTTTCGAAGAATTCCTTTTCCTGTGGACGAACACCCATAAAATATTCCAAATAAAGAAAGGTCAAAACGGAAAAAGATGTGAACTTGTATATTGAATAACGAGGGTTCAGAGCCTAACTATCCTTGAACCATGCCCATTGCTATTTTTTATTTTATGTTCATTTCGAAAAACAAGGACCAAAGAATACTAAGATGTTTTACCATAGTGTCTAAATGCCGTATACAATACGTTGATAATTCATTCTAGCCGCTGATTTTCTTGAGCAAAATCTTTTTAAAATTCTGCCAACTTACGTTATTATTAAGTTTTAAATATCTGTAGAATTCACTGGTAAGTTCGTATATCATTAGTTAAACTTCTTTAACCCAAAAATTCAGGATGGATTAAAAGAATTTCCGCTAATGCTAACTATAGAAAAAGGTGTTACTGCTTAGCCATTTGGAGGTACATAGCAAAGAACACTGCAAAGGACACTGGGAGTTTCGACAAATCATATCCAGCCCGTGGAAATCGCAGGCTCAAATTAGAAATAGGTTTTCCCAATAAAAGTTGATACACTAATGAAATTACAAGAGTGAAAAGAGACCAAACTTTGAAAAGTTTATCTCAGTAAAGCCTTGCAAACAAAAATGTTGGTGGGTTAGACATCTAGTAGCTGGATTTCAGAACCCAAATTTGCATTTTTTGGTTATTAAGGTTAGCTAAGTTACGAATTGAGCAAGTATATGTCGGCCTTTCGAGAAAAGGGATTTAACAGTTCATAAAAATCAACCTACTCTTTTAACGGGAATGTGGCATAATTTGGATTACAGTTACTAGCAAAACTTTTCCTTTAACTCCTATCAGATTGGAGAAGTTTGAATGTAATCCTACTTTACACACCTTTCTTAAAAAAATTAAACAGGCAAACAGTGCATGTACATGAAAGTCAGTTTCCCAACAATCATGTACATTATGTTTGCATGTTTGCACCTAGATCGGTATTTAAAAAAAAAAACAATTACCTTCTTCCCGCTCCCCACCCCTTAAGTTGGTGTAAGCATGCTGGGTCATCAAGGTTTTGATGCCGATACAGGTAGATTACATCCACGTCAAGTGACCACAACTGGAATAGCACAGCAGCTATGTGGGATAAAATGACAGTTCCGGTTGGTAACAACAGCATTGAAAGGATTGAAAACATTGCAAGTGATTTCGTTTAACGTTTAAAAGGGATAGATACAAACGAATTGCAAAAATCGTTTTAATAACCAAAAAACAATCCACAAAAGATGCTCAGAGCGGTTGTAACCTAAAAAACACTCATTTTCGACTGTTTTAAGTAAAAATAATAAATTCACAATTGGTAGCATACACAAACCCGTTTGGTCTCAGATTTAAATGGCAATGTTCCAAGTAGAACAAAGTGGGGTCACCCTCTTTAAAAAGCCTTAAGGAAATAACTATTTCCCACTGAGCCACTCAGGCAAGTCCCAGCGTTTGCTAACCTCAAATTAAAGTATACCCTAATTTACCAAAAAAATGAAGCTTAACAAATCCTTCTACAGAGGGACATCGAGTAAACGAGTGCCCTTACTAAAATACTTACGACAAAGCACAAAGCACACAAGCCATTGTAAACACTTGAAGAGCGCAAGTACAAAATTTGGTATCCCAGCTTTTCGGCAGCCTTCCAGGCTTCCAGAACGCAATATATACAGCTACTTCATATCACAATGCCTCAAGAAGGCTGAGGAGAAGTCTCAAGAAGCGTCAGTTCCCATAGTTTTGCAGTAGTTTATTACTTGTTTAACTCTTGGTTTTGGGTACGCGGAGCTTAGGCCTCCGGTTTTTCCATCCAGTAGTTGACATGGTCTCCAGGACATGCTAGTAGCTCCTTCAGCCCTTTTTTGTTCCCTGTTCTAGAATTAAGGCTATTTTCGTTTTCACAGAAGGCTTGGAGCACTACAGGCATTGCTCTGTTCGTTGAACCAATAGTATTTAATAAGGCTTCAGCATAAAAAATCTCAAACCAAAACCAACAGACAAAATAGCATTGGATCTATTTTCAATTCTGCCTGTTCTCTTGCTTTAAATGGTATACCGACTCGCTGTTACTAGTCGGTTTGTACTAATGGTTACTCTATTTTTCGGATTATATCCCACTATATTACTTTAAATAGTTGGTGGCATTAACATCAAACAATTGCCTTATTTTTAGGCAAAAAATTTTGCTTTTGAATTTGGGATGATTTTGCTAAAGCTTTACAGCTTGCTGTGGTCTGATTTTAATCATTTAACCAAGCAAATTTGTTTTAGTGAGCTGTCCGGGTAGTCCTTTACTGTTTTTCGCCATTTTTCGTTGGGTATGAGTAAGCGAGCTTATCTGTGCATCACCGATGGGAGTGGTACGCGTAGCCATTGTAAGTGATGGCTTTTAGAGTCAAAAACTAACGATCCGAGCGCATGGGCCATCGTTAGGCCTCGAAAGCGTCGTAGCCGCTGGTCCAACGCAAATGATGACAAAACGTACGTACCTGGGATGCCTACACAATTGCCTCCAAACCTGACTCCAGCTCAAGAGAAAATGTATATCTGTAAGTAGAACTTTATCCACATTCTTCCTTCAAGTGCAACTTCAAATAGAAGATATTACAAGACGCCTAAAGACTGGTGATTTGGGCATTCCGGCAAATCCTGAGGATAGGTACGTTGTTAGTTCCGTTTGCTTTTAGTATATAATCTTTTATCGACAGCAATGCGTTAAACTAATTTGTCTTTTCACGTATAGGCGAGCGATAAGATATGGGACGTTAGCTTTTTTGGGTAAACTCTTATACTAATACCTAATCCTATTTTAGTAGAGCTCCATCTGTTAGATCAAAGCGCTGGTAGATTTCACACGAGATTGCATTTGCGTAAGGTATGGAATTTAACGCATTGCTTTTCAGGAATCCCATTTAGCACTTGCTCTATCCACTTTTTTATTTTAAGGTCCCCCTCACCTGAGCCGGTTTACAGCAGTGATGGGAAACGGTTAAACACCCGTGAATATAGAACCCGTAAAACAATGGAGGAGAATCGGCACAATTTTATTCAGCAAATGTTGGAGCTAAATCCCGATTACAAACCCCCAATAGACTACAGGTGCTTCCTCGTTTTGTGTTTCATTTCTAGAGCGCCACAAAACAAAATCACGGACAAGATATTCATACCGCAAGAAGATCACCCCCACATTAATTTCGTGGGATTGCTTATTGGACCGCGAGGGAATACGCTTAAAGCTTTAGAAAAGGAGGTAGCGTCCCGTTTATTATCATTAATTTAGATGAGGCGTTGTAGGCGCTCGTTTGCGTCCAATGAGCCTTATTAGTCGTTCTTGGTGTGTAGTTTGCTCTCTTAGTTGAGTAGTCTTAGAAACACTAATCAAGCATTCCTGGTTTCACAAAGGCTTTGATTATTGCTCGCCAAATGTCGACTTTTATAAGCTTATTCATTTTTGTTTACGCTATATTTGCAATTATCGTTTTGACGTAAAACTATTTCTCAACAAATTTGTGCGCAGACTGGAGCGAAGATTATTATTCGTGGTAAAGGTTCCGTCAAAGACGGGAAATTGATTCGCCGAGATGGAATGCCTATTCCCGGTGAAGATGAACCTCTTCATGCTTTCGTTTCTGCTGCTACTCCAGAGTCGTGCCAAAAGGCTGTGGAGAAGATTCAAAGCATCATCCGCCAGGGTATTGAGGTTCCTGAGGGTGAAAATGACCTGCGAAAGTCGCAGCTTCGTGAGCTGGCACTCCTCAACGGCACTCTGCGTGAACACGAGGGTTTAGCGCGTCTGAGGGCAATGGCGGAGGCGCAGAATATTGCTACGAATAAGATCCAGTGCTCCATGTGTGGTGGTAGGTCACTGTCTCTGACATTTGTGACTTGCTGCCTGGCATCTGTGAACGTCTGTGCTCTGTTGTGCGTTGTCAGGTTTCGGTCATCTTGCGTCAGACTGTAAACTACGCGATCCTTCGGTCACCATGGAACATATGGGCATCAATCCGATGGAAAGGGCTAAAATGGACAGTGAATATACTGCGCTTATGGCGGAGTTAGGCGTTGGTTATGGTGGTGGTGCCGCCACTTTGCCCCCAGGAGTTGGTAGGTCCTTATAAGTTTGTTTGGAACCACTTTGTTTTGTCTCAGTGTTCAAACAGGTAGGATCATCGCCACTGTTTATATCGTGTAGAATTTTCACGGGGATTAACTGCATCTTGACATGACGTCTACACCTGTGGTTGTTAATTTAGCTATACGAACATTGCATTCCTATTAAAAAAGCGGATATAATTTTAGCGCCCGGCATGCGATCCGCACGATCAGGCCCACCGAAGCAGCCTCCCCCACCGGGCGTAGCTCCCGCGCCAGAAGAGGAGGGAGAGGACAAAAGTAGTGGAACTCCTACTTCGACAGCTGCGTCGGTACTCCCGCCGCCTCCACAAATGCCATCTCATCCAGCCGCCTGGGGATACATGGGAGTCCCAAACCCCGGTGCTGCCTACCCTCCTGCCATGCCACCGACTGGGCCGCCCGCCACTTACGTGGCTGGTCACTACCCCCCACCCCCGCCGCCCCCACCACCTCCGGGGCATCGTGGATACCAAGGCTGGTACGGACCTGGCCCAACTGGGCCTTGGCCTCATCCCGGCGGTCCAGGTAAACTTTGGTGTTCGGGTCTACTTCCGAAATCTTGATACAGTTTTCGGGATCGTTATACTGCCTGGTAAGTCCTACGTGAACACGTAGATCAGAACGTGTACTCCTTCCTTAGGAATGCCGCCGCGCCATATGGGCTATAGTGGTGATGGGAATGGTGGTGACTACTGGGCTCAAACTGCAGGTTACGGCTACTGTCCCCCACCACCTCCTCCTCCTCCTCCTGCTCCTGGTCTCTAATTTGGCATGCCATCATTTCGATTGTGTATAGGGGACGTGCGAAAGTAAATCTGCGCTCTG